AGACTAGGATTGCAACCCCTGCTCTTTTTTGTTTTCCCTTTGCTTGGTAGATCTTTCTCCATCCCTTTATTTTGTGACTACGTGTGTCTCTGCATGTGAGATGGGTCTCCTGAATACAGCAAACTGGTGGTCTTGACTCTTTATCCAATTTGCCAGTCTGTGTCTTTTAGTTGGACTAATTAGTCCATTTACATTTAAGGTTAATATTGTTATGTGTGAACTTGATCCTGTCATTATGATATTAGGTGGTAATCTTGCTCGCTAGTTGATGCAGGTTCTTCCTAGCATCAATGGACTTCACATTTTGACATGTTTTTGCAATGACTGGTACCTGTTGTTCCTTTCCATGTTTAGTACTTCCTTCAGGATCTCTTGTAGGGCAGGCCTGGTGGTGACAAAATCTCTAAGCATTTGCTTGTCTGTAAAGGATTTTATTTCTCCTTCACTTATGAAACTTAGTTTGGCTGGATGTGAAATTCTGGGTTGAAAATTCTTTTCTTTAAGAATGTTGAATATTGTCCCCCACCCTCTTCTGGCTTGGAGAGTTTCTGCCGAGAGATCTGCTGTTAGTCTGATGGCCTTTCCTTTGTGAGTAACCCGACCTTTCTCTCTGGCTGCCCTTAAGATTTTTTCCTTCATTTCAACTTTGGTGAATCTGACAATTATGTGTCTTGGAGTTGCTCTTCTTGAGGAGTATCTTTGTGGCATTCTATGTTTTTCTTGAATTTGAATGTTGGCCTGCCTTACTAGGTTGGGGAAGTTCTCCTGGATGATATCCTGCAGAGGGTTTTCCAAGTTGGTTCCATTTTCCCCATCAGTTTCAGGCACCCCAATAAGACGTAGATTTGGTCTTTCTGCATAATCCCATATTTCTTGGAGGCTTTGTTCATTTCTTTTTACTCTTTTTCTCTACACCTCTCTTCTCACTTCATTTCATTCATTTGATCTTCAATCGCTAATACACTGTCTTCCAGATGATCGAGTGGGTTACTGAAGCTTGTGCATTTGTCACGTAGTTGTCGTGTTATGGTTTTCATCTCTGTCAGTTCTTTTAAGGACTTCTCTACTTTTATTATTCTAGTTAGTCATTTGTCAAGTCTTTTTTCAAGGTTTTTAGTTTCTCCTTTAGCTCTGAGAAGTTTAATCGACTGAAGCCTTCTTCTCTCGACTCGTCAGAGTCATTCTCCGTCCAGCTTTGTTCTGTTGCTGGCAATGAGCTGCATTCCTTTGGAGTGGGAGATACGCTCTGATTTTTTCAATTTCCAGCTTTTCTGCACTGCTTTTTCCCTATCTTTGTGGTTTTATCTGCCTTTGGTCCTTGTTGATGGTGATGTACTGATGAGGTTTTGTTGTGGGTGTCCTTTCTGTTTGTTAGTTTTCCTTTTAACAGTCAGGACCCTCAGCTGTAGGTCTGTTGGAGTTTGCCTGAGGTCCACTCCAGACCCTGTTTGCCTGGGTATCAGCAGCGGAGGCTGCAGAAGATAGCATATTGCTGAACAGCGAGTGTTGCTGTCTGATTCTTGCTCTGGAAGCTTCGTCTCAGGGTTGTACCCCACTATGTGAGGTGTGAGGTGTCGGTCTGCACCTAGTGGGGGATGTCTCCCAATTAGGCTACTCAGGGGTCAGGGACTTACTTGAGCAGGCAGTCTGTCATTCTCAGATCTTAACCTCCATACTGAGAGATCCACTGCTCTCTTCAAATCTGTCAGACAGGGGCATTTACCTCTGCCGAGGTTTCTGCTGCTTTTTGTTTAGCTATGACCTGTCTGAGAGGAGGAGTCTACAGAGACAGGACAGCCTCCTTGTGCTGTGGTGGGCTCCACCCAATTCGAGCTTCCTGGTGGCTCTGTTTACCTACTTAAGCCTCAGCAATGGCAGACGCCCCTCCCCCATCCTCTCTGCAGCCTTGCAGTTAGATCTGAGACTGCTGTGCTAGCAATGAGGGAGGCTCCCTGTGCGTGGGACCCTCTGGGCCAGGTGTGGGATATAATCTCCTGGTGTGCCATTTGCTAAGACCCTTGGTAAAGCGCAGTATTAGGGTGGGAGTTACCTGATTTTCCTGGTGTTGTGTGTCTCAATTTCCTTTGGCTAGGAAAAGGAATTCCCTTCTCCCTTGCACCTCCCAGGCAAGGCAATGCCTCGCCCTGCTTCAGCTCTTGCTGGTAGGGCTGCACCTGCCGACCAGCACCACCTGTCCAACATAACCCAGTGAGATGAACCCGGTACCTCATTTGAAAATGCAGAAATCATCCATCTTCTGTGCCACTCACACTGGGAGCTGGAGACTGGAGCTGTTCCTATTTGGCCATCTTGGGCCAAATCTTGCTCTGTTGCCCAGGCGGGAGTGCAGTGGCATGATCTCGGCTCACTGCAACCTCCGCCTCCTGGATTCAAGTATCTGAGACTACAGGTGTGCACCACCACACCCAGCTAATTTTTTGTATTTTTAGTACAGACGGGGTTTCACCATGTTGACCAGGTTGGTCTCAAACTCCTGAACTTGTGATCTGCCTGCCTTGGCCTCCCAAAGTGCTGGGATTACAGGTGTGACCCATCACTATTGGCCAGGTTTGTTTTTTTTTTTTTCCTTTCTTGCAATAGAGGAGACAGGTCTAGTTGGGACTTACTACCTTTCCCATGCAGTAGTTGTTCTCATACCTCAGGCCCGCATCATGAGAGAGGATTTGTGTGGTCTACATCTCTGATCCTAATCGTTCAGAAGACCCTAGTGAGGTTTACAGAAAAGGGCTTAGAGACTGATGTGAAATTCCCTGTTTCTATGACTCCCAGAGCTTCTATATACTCATGCTAGCCTTTACTAATTTGTTTAAAATTTTAGCTGAATTTTTCTTCTTAATGGCTTGTACAGTGTCTGGCATCTGTCCCAAGTAAACAAGGGTTTGCATTCCTTCTGTCCTTGGAGGAGTCTGTCTTTCTTTATATTTTGGGTTAACTGGTTGCCCTGATATTTCAGTTCTTTGATAAATTCAAGTTGTGATTTTGATGGTCCAGCTTCAAAAAATTGTAAATATGAAAATGAAGCTCTTTACAGCTTTTTGCATGCTAATATTAACTTTAAAAAAATTATCTGTAATCCCAGAACTTTGGGAGGCTGAGGCAGGTGGATCACCTGAGGTCAGGAGTTCAAGACCAAGATGGTGAGACCCCCATCTATATTAATAATATCAAAGTAAGCCAGGCATGGTGGCACACACCTGTAATCCCAGCTTCTTGGGAGGCTGAAGCAGGATAATTGCTTGAACCTGGGAGGCAGACATTGCAGTGAGCTGAGATCACGCCACTGCACTCCAGCCTGGGTGACAGAGTGAGACTGTGTCTCAAAACAAAACAA